TTGCAATTAATAGTATACATGTACAATAATATTTAATACGTGTAATAGAGATCCTTTATCATGTACAATACTAACTACGTATTATAAAAATAAAAATCGAAATAGTGAGACAGATTATGACTGTTCATGTGTTGTGTACAAATGCAATTCCCCTTCCAAAGAGACGTTTCTTCGCAGTAAAGAATGAGTGTGTCATCAGAATGAATTGTGTCGTTGACGACAGTTCTGTATCGGCTATTGCTACCAAAGAATAAAATAAAGAAGTATAATATTTTAAACGTGCTCACTTCGCAATAATCGATAGAAAAGTGAACGAAGAGCAAGGTGTAACCGAGTGTCATAAATGATTTTCAAACTTTGTCGTAGATTGGCGCTCCATAAAGATTGCTCTTTATTTTTTACTATTATTTTTATGATATCACTTCGTTAACTTATTAGTGTGTTAATTTCATTATTTGTTCGTTATAATTTCCTATTCGTTCAAAAGGAAATAATTATATATCATAGAAAAGATCGGGAAAATTGTTAAAAAAACATAAAACATAACTAATTTATTATATATTATTTCTGGAATTAATATTTTGTGTTTGCACATAATACATTTGAAAATAGAATATCATGATACGATTGCTCTATCATCTATTAGTTTTGATGCAGTGTTTTTTAATGGTGGGCCCTTTTAGCGGTACCCTCTGGGGTGCCATATGTATGTACGTATAGCCAGGCCTGAACGCAGTCAGCACCAAGCAGCGCGATATCCCAGCGGCCATGTTGTTATTCAAACGACTCGGATGTATTGAATTCTCCCAACCAAAACTTCTCTGCGAAGAAGTAATATTTCGACAGGATTTCTTTTGCATACTATTCCCAGAAGTTTAATCTAGGTCGGTACGGAGGCCGATTTTGCAATTTCGTCCAAAACAATTTTATGAACTGAAAACTAACATTTCTTATAGAAGAAAATTTTTCGCGTCCCACTTTTACAAAAACGGCCTCCGTACCGACCTAGATTAAACTTCTGAGAGTAGTATGCAAAAGAAATTTTGTCGAAATATTACTTCTTCGCAGAGGAGTTTGGTTGGGAGAATGTGTGTTTTGTCGTAGCATCCTATTTACCGTCCTTGTCTCTCCTAACCAAAAACACAGTTAGTAGACAGAGAACATTCGACGAACTTCACACCGCTCGATCTAGTGAATTTCATTACGCTTAAGTTGGCAACGAATCCCAGCACACAACCACACAACAGTAGATAACCCATTCAGTGGAAAGCAGAAGGTAACTGTTGACTGCAATTGGTATGGAGTCATCTGAAGCTAGTAGAGTTCTAAAAATCCTGTCTTCTAATTGGATGTTGAGATTTTGTATTACAAGATACGATTGGTTGGAATAGGCATTATACGAACTTGATTATGGTGAGATGATGGAAAGATTGTGTTTGTAAGACGTAAATGGAAAATAAATATTGTTTCATGGCGGGAAAAATTCACGTGGTTGTGTATTAATTTTTAAGTTGTTTGTGATAATTAAAGAGATAAAATATCAATTACTAAATCCTTTATATCAAGTTACTAACTGAGTTTCATAATAGAAATGTAAAAGATACTTTGTTTCCGCTATAAAATCTAAGTCGGTCAAGTTTATTATATTACTGCAACGTAATTTGTATTCTATAATGTTATAAAATATGTTAAAACAAGTTCATCAATTGTCGTAAGCATTATTTTATGTGTATTTAATATAAAATTAATATTTTTGAATGTTGTTTAATTAGTTTTACCTATCGATTTTTTAGCAATATTTTGTAATAAACATTGTGATCTCTTGGTTGTTTAAAATAAGTAAATTATCTGATTACATCTTTTGATATTTGTCATAAAATACTCAAAAATCATAGGAATCATTATAGTAAACATACTGTTTGGCTAATAAGTTGCAATATTTTGTATAAAATACGCATTTTGTAAAACGTATTTTGTTATATTTTAATTAATGAAACAGTATAATATTTATTTATTAAATTAAGGTAATTTATAACAAAATTAATAATATCTATTCATTTACAATTTTTATACAAATATATACATTTTTTGTGTAGATTATATTTATATAGTCATGGGGAGTGACAGAAGCAGGACAAAAAGGAAATCTGGCGAAATAGAGGAATATCATTCGAAACGTGCAAAAGGAAAAAAGAATGGTTTTCATTTTACGGAAGAGGTAAGTATTTTTTATTTTATAATACTAAATTTACTTTTTAATATATTGATGACATTGCACAAGATTTAGTACTATATTATCTTTTAGCATTTTGTTAGGTAACATAAACACTATGTCCTTTTATATTAACTTTATAATTTTTGTTGATTTTATTCACTTTTCAATATTTCCTTTTTAAATGTTTGAAAGTTTCTTTGTTTATTCTACATAATCTTAAATTCTGTTTGTAGTCGCAACATTTATTGTTTATGTTATTGTTTATGCAGAAAGCAAATGTTATTATAGGTTACATTCTTATATTCCTTTTTTAATATTCACAAGGGAGATGTTTTCCAGTAGAAGAAATTAAATTCCAAAATCTCTTATATTTTATTATCTTTATTATCTTTTTTCTTTTTCACCTTGATTAGCTATAAATGATTTCTCAAATGATATTGTTTCCTTTCTTTTTATTTACTTTGATGTCAATTTATTATCTTATTTAATATTTTTTATATACTCTTTTAAAATCGTATGGTTGGACTCATGTATTACTTTTCCTTAAAATGTTTCTTTACCTATCTGTATTCTCATATTGTTTCTTTTTCTTACTTTTATTATATACAACTCCATCTAATTCTAAGGTTCACTATAGGCATTTAACCTTAATTGTCTCCAACCTTTCTTATATTTTGCAGTCCTAAATTTTTACTCCATATCATTATCATTGTCTAATCATGCAAATATCTTCATTGTAATGGGTTACCTTTTCTGTTGCTCCTTTTACTTTAGCATTTTACTATGTTTTTAGATTAATGTATTATTACATACTTATATTATTTTACAGTGTAAAACTGGCAAAATACAGAAAATTCTAATACGAAATTTTATGTGCCATGATGCTTTGGAAGTAACATTAAATCCAAATGTAAATTTTATTGTTGGTCGTAATGGAAGTGGTAAAAGTGCGATATTAACAGCTTTGACAGTTGGTCTTGGTGCTAGAGCAAATATTACTAGTCGTGGAGCATCTGTTAAAAGTATAATTATTTCAAATGGTACGAAGTTTCTAAAATTATGTTTTTGTTATGCAATGTTTTTATTTATAGATTTTATAAAAAAAGGGAAAAATTCTGCAATAATTGAAGTAATGTTACTTAATAAAGGACCTATGGCTTATAATTCAGATGTTTATGGTGATACTATAACAATTGTCCGCAGTATTGGAAGTTCATCAGCTTACAAAATAAAAAATTGGAAAGGTTTACAGTTATTTCAATTAATCATTATTTAAATGATTATTTATACTTTATTTACTTGATAAAAATATGTATTAAATCATTTATGACAGGAGAATTAATATCAACAAAACGAAATGAACTAGATAATATATTGCAAGCAATGAATATTCAAATAGATAATCCTATTGCTATATTAAATCAAGATATATCAAGGACATTTTTAGTATCATCTAAACCCGAAGAGAAATATGAACTATTTATGAAAGCAACACTCCTGGATAAAATTGGTAATAATTACAAAGAAGCTGAATTAGTATGTCAAGAAGAACATGAAAAGTTAAAACATTATACAGAAGTATGTATTTAATATATTTTTGAGAATAATTATTTTATTTTAAAGATACTGTTAATGTATTTTATGTAGACTTTATCTGAGGCAAGAAAAGAAGTGGAGCAACTTAAACTAAATATAAAAAGGGCAGAGGAAATTGATAAATTGCGCGAAGAAGTTGTTAATCTCGACATGGAATTATTTTGGGCTATTGTAAGTACTAAAATTAATGTATAGAAATTTCAATTCCTTATTTATGATTTTCAGTAAACGACATAATATAAAATAGTATAAAATGTATATCTTCTAATACAGGCCATAGTAGAGGAAACGAAATTACAACAAGTTGAGAAAGTTTTTAGAAAATGTGAGGACAATTTAAAACAACTTCAAGATACTGAATCATCTACGGAATTAAAAGAAGACGAAATAAATAAAAAAATCCAGTATGACCTTTTAATAATTATTTGTGTTGGTAGTTAAATGCTAGTTGCCTTTCTACATGATTTTGCATAACAAAATCTATTCAAAAACAAAGCTAGAGATTTGAGGTAATTGTTTAGAAAGCAAACGGCTTCTACGATGTTGACGATTTTTAAATATTCGCGATAAAGTATCCGTAGTATTACATTAAATTTTTGTTGTACGCTTGTATTTGTGGCAACGTTTGTCGTGTACTTGCTCTTTTTGTAAATAACAGCGTAGCGCTCGACAAATGATGTATGCTGTAAGAGATAAAAGATCGAATGTAATCAATGTCAAATGATTTGAAATGAACAAATTTAGACTTGAACAGCTCATCGCCCTATAGATTTTGTTTTTTCATGGCTATGGTTATTCAAATATTATTAAAACTTAACCTAATCTAATTCACTAACTGGACTAGAGTAGATTATGTTACATTAATATGCACCGCGAAACAACTCGCCATCTAGAACCAAATTAAACAAGATGGAAATTAATTACACTTAATGTTTTGCAAATACGTAAAATTATCCTACATATTAGAAGTGAATATTTAAATCATGTTCAAAATCATTTGAGATTGCTTAAGTTGCATGTTTAAGACTATCCGTTATACGTACATTGGTTGCCGAGTGTTGTGTTGTTTAGAGAACAAGCGATAAACATCAAACGCATACGGACGCGTAAGCTGTAACGTATGTATAGATATGTGTATGGGGGAAAGTCAGTATAATTGTATCAATAGCTTTTGACTAATGTTTAACTAACAAAGGACATCACCCAAACGTTACACACCGATTTTAATGAAATGTTTATATATTGTAGAACTTGAAAAAATATTTGACACGTAATTTTTTTACGCGTGAATATTCACTTTGAAGTGGTGAAAACCCTCAAAGTTGGAGTTGAAAAAGCTATTTTCACAAATATTTTGGGAACTATTAGCCCTAGATAAAAGATTTAAAGTGCAAATTTTTCGGTTTTGGTAGGCCAATAATATGGCGTAAGTGGGTTTCTGAAAAATATGTTAATAATTAACATTATTTCAAATTCAAATTATCAAATTTCGCATGCATAAGGTCGGAGTTATATGCACATTTTATACTTTCCCCCCGGTGTATGACTGATTTCTATACATAACATTCTATCAACTCTATTACATTACATTTGTTATACTAATTTATTGAAAAAAAGAACTTAGGAGTCTATTGGTATTCCTATAAAATATGAGGCCCGAGACGTTTGACCCGCGTTATAGGCGTGTACTAATGGTAGTATTCAATGAATGGAGCATCAAATAGTACGTATTGTACTTGCATTAAGTGTGACAAAGTCGTCATTAATTTAGATCAGTGTTCGAAGTTACTTGCACATTTCGGGCCGATTCCTGAGTACAGTATTCTCTCCGTAAATGTTACAACTGCCGGTCTCGATTGTAACATTTATGGAATAGGTACTACATTCTTTGTAGTGAGCCGAATATAGAAAAAGACAGCAACACAAAAGACAAAGAGGGACTGAGGTTCGGCAAACATGAAAGACTTGTGCGTGTTCTGTCTTTTAAATTCAAAAATCAAAATTCTTTATTTTTGGTTTTTCGTGAATGAAACTTTGATCATGAGACAGCAACACAAGCCGAATATAGAAAAAGACAGCAACACAAAAGACAAAGAGGGACTGAGGTTCGGCAAACATGAAAGACTTGTGCGTGTTCTGTCTTTTAAATTCAAAAATCAAAATTCTTTATTTTTGGTTTTTCGTGAATGAAACTTTGATCATGGTATTCGTCTCGTTTTTCTAATTAAAATGGTACCAAACATGGTATAATTAAAATCATAATTACTTGTATAGCAAGCCGTTAGGAGGAATTCGTATCTCTGCTGTAAATGTAAAGTTTGTCGTAAATGTGAAAATCCGAAACTTTTATGGCTTGTTACATAAGTAATTACGATCGTAATTATATTGTGTTTGGTGTCATTTTAATCAGAAAGACGAGACAAATACGACAGTAAAAGTTTCATGAAAAAATAGTAAGAAATAGGAAAGTTGCAATCTTTTCCTTTGCTTGCATTAGTATGTTTATCACCGATATTCGTTCCTCATCGTTTCGGCGACTGATCGTGTTTCATTCTTGACTGATTTCGAGGGGGATCCCCCAGTAGTGGGGATAGAATTTTAATATTTACGGTAGAGATCTTTTTAACATTTACGGAGGAAATACTGTAAACGCCTTCTGTACTCCCACTACTGATCTAGACTCGACGGCCGAGCCTCCTATCGCACGCGTGACATAGCGTCTCAGGAACGTCCTATGATACATACGAGGTGTGACCCAAAAGTAACGAGACTGGTCCAGTAAATCATTGTACTTGTAGAATCAGTTCTCTGTGACATTATCACCTTCGAAGTAGTCCCCTTTAGCATTCACACACTTTTGCATTTGGTGCTGCCATTGCTGGTAAAAGTTCTGGAACGAGGTTTTTGGAAGTCCTTTCGGAAGATTCTCCGTTTCTGTCGGGAGATTCTCCGTTTTTGCCTGAACCTCTTCAACTGAGGTAAAATAGGTTCCCTTCAAGCGAAATTTAACTTTAGGAAATAAAAAAAAGTCGCATGGATCCAAATCAGAAGATGCTCCATCACAGTAATATTTTTACAGGTCAGAGACTGCTTGACAGACAGTACCATGCGAGCGTGGTGCAACAGCTTTCAATCGCTCTACAACTGTGGCCTTTTTCCCCTAATTTTTTCTCGAAGTCTTTTTAGTACTTCAATGTAATAGTGTTGGTTAACAGTCTGACCGCTGGGAAACCACTCAATCATTGCAATTCCGTTAATGTCGCATTTTAATTTTGACATGCATGTTTTTTTGGGTTTTGGGGATCCTGAAGATTTCCACTGCATCGACTGGCGCTTACTTTGTGGGTCATAGGTAAAAATCCATGTCTCATCACATGTTACAACAGATTTCAACAAATTTTACAAGAAACTTGATGTTTATTCGCTGTTCGGTTTTTACGTTAGACATTTTTCCGGCAGAATGCAGTTGCATGTGTTCACTAAATAACGCAATACTTCCAAATGGTATGACCGATTCAATCGAAATTTGAAACATGGATAGAGGAGCTATGTGGGATGATGCCACAACAACAATTGCTGCCAATTCCATTGATTTTTCAAGATACACTCCGAGTCTCGTTTCTTTTGGATCACACCTCGTACATATGACTGGATCCATTCGTGATTATAAATTTCCGTAGACTGTTAATAATTTTTATTTTTCCAGATCTCTAAAGCTATTAATGTTATTTTTACGTTTATGAACATCTTATAAATATATTATAATTATAATTATTATATATATATATTATATATAATATATATAATAACAATAATATATGATATAATAATTATAATTTTGTCAATAGCTTTTCACATCACGCAAGAGGTAGTACTGTTGATTCGTGCTTTTCTTTTAAGTGGCTTTACCCGCGGATATATTCCACTAATTCCTAATAAAGATAATAAACTATGTCACTCGGCAGGAAAACAAATCGAAACCATAAGCGTTTTAATTTTCAGTTGATCTGGGTCATTTGCACGGATAGTATCTCCACAGATAATGTAGAAGAATTAATTTGCGTCAACGAGGATAATGATGCATCGCTTAAACACGAACATTTTTCTGCTTTTATATTTTTCTTGTTAGAAAATGAACATTTGCATAAATATGTGAACCCCAATATAGAGAAAATTCCCGCTATTGACAAAATTGTAATTATTATAACATGTGTTATTGTTATCTTACTCTTCTTACTGTATCTTCTCTTCTATCTTTTTCTTCTATCTATCTATCTATCTATCTATCTATCTATCTATCTATCTTTCTTCTATTCTTTCTTTTCTTCTCTATAGTACAAAATCATAAGGTAACGGTGTCACGCGTAACGCTGTAAAGGGGTTCGCTACCCCCTCTACGCCACAATCTAAGGTCCACTCACCATGACACTTCAGAAGCATATTTCACACGAAATAGACACGAAGCGTCTCGGGCGGTCGAAGCGGCCAGGGGGCACCGCCCCCTAGTTATATGTATATATGAAAGATGTTTATAGGCGTAAATATAGTATTAGTAACTTTAATGATCTGTAAAAATACAAATTATTGGCAGTGCAAGGAAATTTTTAATCACGGATGGATTCGTACATATCTCTTGTAGGCCGTCCCTGAAACAAAATGTCTCACGTGCGATCAGCGGCTCGGCCGTCCAGTCTAGAGCGGAAGTGGAGGTATAGTAGATGGTTACTCAGGAATCGGCTCGAAATATGCAACTAATTCCGATCACTGATTTAAATTATGTGTAATTAAGATTATGTTCCACGTTTTTTGAAAAATATGGTAATTCTGAAAAGACTTAATTTTGTTGAAGTTCTAAAGAGAACTTTGAGATTGATTGATTGTGGCCCTGAACAAGCACGTTTGTACCTTGACAATATATGTATTTGTATAAGAAGCAGTTATACGCCAAAGTTTAATCATATCGTTTCTTAATAGTTTCGAAGGCCAATTCAAAAAAAAAGTCTTGAAATGATAAAAAAATAAGCTATTTTCAGAGTTGCAACAAAACCAGTTCTTTTTAGAGCTTCAACAAAATTAAGTCTTTTCAGAACTATCATATTTTTCACAGACGTTTGGGTGATGTCCCTTTTAACGCTAATCGGCGGTTATACGTATCGGAAAAGGTTGTTTAAAATATTGATTTCTGCAATATATTAAAAAATCACTGCTTTCTAAATAATTACAAAATCATTATTTTCAGGAATACCCCACATATAAAAACAATTCATGCAGTAGAACTATTCATACTTCATTTTTTAATGTTATTGAAAAAATATAGACTGGAAAACTTAATTTATTTAAAAAAAGTATATATCTATTGTTATGCCTTTTTGCAAGTGTTGGTGTGTTTTAGTAATTTGTTGCAATCTACGCGTATACGCTATTATTTCACTGCATTTTAAGACAGCAAGCCTTAGTACATAAACTTTATATAAGGCATTTCTTATAGAATAATTTTTCAACGTTTCGATAACATTGCAGTTAGCACTATCAATCTATTTCCAGATTCCTGGTAAAGCTAGTTGTACTAACCTGGATGCACATGTTTTTCAAATACAGAGACGAATTTTTTCTTTATTAAGATTCTCATGTTTTTAAATCTGTTGAAACTGTTAAATTTAATTATAAATTAATTAAGTTCGTTAAATAATATGTAGTTTGTCGGAGCATGTATTTTGAGTCATACAATGCTTTTTGCAACTGGGTCAAGTTGCAAAAGTGTTTCAAGTGAAGTTGGAAAACATAAGGAGACGATCCTTCTATGTTATATAAACTTTGTAGTCGGATTATGATTTTTTTTCGTAAGTGCATTATTACATTTGTAGAATATAAACACACGTTGCTTTTATGTAATTTTATTTTGTGAATCATATCACGCTAGATCGACCACTTTTTTATATTTATGTCAGGAGTTTTGTTTATTCTTGTTGTTTAAAAGGTATGAACCTTTGAATTCCAAGATTTTTTGACTATTTTGGTTTAAAAGTTATAATTACATATTATTATGATAAGTTATAAATTTGACAATTTATTTTGGACCAACGACAAACGGGAAAGAATTTTTTCAGAGAGTTTATTTAACACATATTAAACTACGAAAAATAATTTTTTTATTGTCATTTCTGTACAAAATGGGGGCGACAGAGCCCATCGGCGGAAACAGCTTTGGTAAAAACACCGCCACGGGGGGACGGATTTCTCGCCATGTATAAGTCGCGTAATGAAAAATCAAAAAAATTTGGAATTTATGTACAATTGACTTTGAAAGTACGTAGGGGTTTTTTGATTAATCAATTTTTGTAGAAATAATGTGTTTTTTAAGAAATGAATCGATTTTTTGCATGAAAAAAGAACATTGAATTGTTTATAAAAAAAAAAGTTTACATTGAATCAAAAAATAGCTACGTACTTCCAATATTGTTGTGAACTTACTGTAAAAAATTTAAATTCAATCCATGCAATAGTTACCGAGAAATCCGTCCTCCCAGTACGAACAAAGTGGTTTCGAGAAAAACGCGTTTAAACTTTTGTGAACATTTTAATCATTTGAATTTTTTGTTCATCTTTAATCTGCAATGCCTGCTCCATACATTTGGCTATCCAGATTAATGTTTGCCACCTCCTCTACTTTTCTGGATGCTTCCGTTTGTTTTGTAGGTAACAAGTAAACTTATTGTTTCAAATGGTAAAAGTAATACGAAAGCGATGAATTGCAGCACGCCACGTGAGTACTCAGTGCCGCGCTCTGAAGAGCTGCGGAAAAATTGATAATTGAACCATTTAAAATTTGTTTTCCATTATAAATCAAATGACATTCAATTCTTAAGACCCTAGAGCAGCGTTTAAGTCAAAAAAAATTGAGTTTTTGAAAATTCTAGAGTGGTTTTACCCCTTAATAAATAAAACATCGATTCTTTTGCACCTTATTGAAGCATTAATTTTTAAGACACAAACTTAAAGAAAGGTGTTCGTTTTAAATAGAACTTCGCAAAAGACAGTTACTTCTTTGATTTTAGCCTTTTAGACGTTTAACCATCACGAAAAAATTTACAGAATAAGAAATTCTTTACAATTTTTGATGAAATAAATTTTGTATATAAAAATTATTCCAATACGTCAGTCTATCAAAATTAAGAAAAGATGATGAAAAATGTATTAATCCACAACTTCACATTCATGGACCACATTCATTTTGTTTCAGTGGCATTTAATAACTTTTGTATGAATAGTTTTTTTTACATTCGTAATGATTTGACAGAATGTAACAAAAGATTAGTCTTTTGCTATGATATTTGCAATTTGAAAATATTTTCATAGATAGATACGAAAAAAGTATTAATGCATGATAATACACCATTATTGTTTATCTTTTATAGATCATTGGAACAAGAAATTGAACAGGCAGCACAGGAAATCAGCAATAGTTCTGAGGCAATTAATAAAGTAAAACAAGAATGCGTTGAAAACAGAGATGCGTATTCCAATAAAATACGCGAATGGCGTTTTGCACAAAGTAAAATTAAAAGATTAGAGGATGATATTAAGATGATCCAAAAGGAAATAAAACGATTAGAATGGTTTACATCAATTTTTGTATTTTTTGAAGACCGATAATTGTCTTTGTGACCTTGCTATATTTATTTTTTTTAATTTTGTAGTGGAGATAATGCCGAACAGAATGAAAGGAAACAAATGAAACAACAATTAGCAGATTTAGAAGAAAAGTTGGATGAGATTGAGGCGTTATTACGGACTAAGGGAAATTTTCAAATGCATTTAGAAAATGAAAAAATGCGTCTTTTGAAAGAAATACAAGTTTCAAAACATGAAATTAACAACTGTGAAAATCGAATGCGTAAGTATAATATTATCATTTGTTAGAAATGTAAGAGAATATATAAAAATAAACAATTGGATTAGTAAAGATTAAAGGATTTAATTCTATTCTAGAAAAAATTAAGCGAGAATTAAATGCAAGAAAACAATATACTGATAATGCGTTCGCTGTATTTGGCCGAAATATACCACGGTTATTGAGAAGGATTGATGAAGCATTTGAAATTGGACAGTTTAAAGAGAAGCCGCGCGGACCATTAGGTAATACGTTATATATTTTGTTTGGATTAGAAATTTCATTCGATTTACTTTATAGTTTACTCGTATTTTAGGAGCGTACATAAAAATGAAGGATTTAGCCTGGGCTCCTGCCGTTGAAAATTATTTAGGGCCTGATATTTGCAGCACATTTTGTGTAGATAATAGTCACGATGCTAAATTATTAAATTTAATTATGCAGGAAATTTATCTAAATGAAAGAACCCCGCAGATAATATGCAGTAAATTTTATAAATCGGTAAGAAATTTTTATATAAAACTTGTATTATGTTACAGATAACTCAAAATTTATATAGTACATTGAAAGTTTAAATTATAGTCAAAATTATTGTATATTTATTATTTTAGGTTCATGATGTTCGTGCTCATTGCGTTTCTTCGCCTAAGTATTCTAACCTTCTAAATGTGATGGATATATCAGATCCGGTTGTTACTAACTGCTTAATTGATCAACGCGAAGTTGAATGTGTTTTGTTAATTCCAACTAATGTTGAAGCAGCTGATATTATGTCAGATGTTACTAAGGTACCACAGAATTGTAAAAGAGCTTTTACTCTGACAGCTGATACCTTTTATCCTGACCCTTGTTATAGAAGTTATGGTGGACCTCATAACTTAAAAGCTAACTTTCTTCAGGTGTCTGTTAGAGATACAATTAAGTATGACTTTTTCTATTATTTTTATCTTTAATTTTTGTCACATATTTTTGTTATATGTGTATTCTATTGGTTTTTAAACAGTGCACTGGAAGAAGAGTTTCGTACTATAGATAACGAAAAAAATACTACGATGAAAACATATACCACAATTTGTGAAAAAGAAAAACGTATAAGTGCCGAGTTAATATCTGTTAGTGCATCAATTACAGAACTTAATACTGCTCAGGATAAATACAAGACATTAATTAATGATTTAAAAGACAAAATTGAATCTAACGAAACTGTTTCTATCACTTTATTCGTAAGTAATTTACATGAATATCTATATGATGTTCGAAGATTATATGAAATATTTTATTTTATGTAGAAAAATGAACTAAATGAATTAGAAAAAAAGATACAAGAGGAGAAACGTGTAGAATCACGTTTAAATAAAGATGTTAATAAACATAAAAAAAATGTTGAACGTTCAGAAGAAGAAATTAAACGTTCCAGGGAATTAAGACAGAATTTGGACTCAAAAATTAATCTTTTGAAGGAAAATATAAAAGAACTAATAAATGAAAAAGAAGCGATGCATGCAAAGAGCCGGCATGCTGCAAAAAAGTTAGAGGCATTACGACATGCTTTACAAAATGCAACAGCGGAATTTGAAATACAGCAAAGATGCACAACAAAGGCAGTATCTGATGCTACTGCTCGATGCGCAAAAATAAATACTAAAAGGTCCATAATGAAGTTACATGATATATCTATGGTTTGGTGCAAGAAGTATCACATACATATAGGGTGCTCACGCCTGAGTGTGATAGCACGATATTTCATGAACTATTTCATGAATTATTGATGACACGAAAAAGTGTTAATATGGAAATTGCAGGATAAAAGGGGCTCTGTGTTTTGGCGTAAACAAAATTTTTTTAATGTTATTAATATAAAAGATATTTATATTAATATTTATATTAGGTTAAGTTTTGTTTTTTAAATGGAACTATGTATATATTTTTTTTTTCGATCACGCAATAGTGCTTTTCAAGACGAATTCATTAAGATTTAGTTTATTTATCCGATTTTTATTACTTTTCGAGATATAACGCTTAGAAATTTACGGATTTTCATCAGGGACGTCTCGATTTGAGTAGAAATAATAATCACGGTCTTATTGTTACGGTAAGTATGTACCGCATGTTTGACTTTGCCTGACAAAACCGATAGCCGGGCTCTACGGTCCCGACGGTAAGTCCAAAGAATAAGAAACGTAAAAAGAATTGTGCATCATCTTTGATGCGGAAAACTTAGACCGTAATGGACAATACTTTCCACGTTCTTTACTCTTCGGACTTGCCGTTGGCAGGCAGAGTCAAACATACGACACTCACCGCAACAATAAAACCATTTTTGTGACTTACTACTCAAATCGAGACGACTCTGTTTAAAGTCAGTAAATTTCTAAGCGTTATATCTCGAAAACTAATAGAAATTTGGTAAATATGTACATTAAATATTAATGAATTCGTCTTGAGAAGCACTATCGTGTGATCGAAAAAAAAATATGTAATTCCATTTAAATAACGAAACTTTACCGTCACATCTTTTAGATTAATAACATTAAAAAAATGTTATTTACGCCAAAACACAGAGCTTTTTCATTCTGCAATTTCCATATAAACATTTTTTTGTGTCATCAATAGTTCATGAAATATCGCGCTGTCACACTTAGGCGTGGGCTCTTTGTATTATACACCTTATTACTGAGAATTTCTTGCCATTAATATTCTTTGCGTGAAGTTTATTCTATAAAACATTTTCATGTTGATATATACAAATATCATTATAATAATTTCTGTACAAAATTTGAAATTGTTTTTTATATAGAATTTACAGTTGTTTATTAACTAAATACTGATTTTAACTCGTTTTTATAAAACTATGACTTTGATATTTCGTGTACCAAGTCATAATATATATTATATTAACAAATTTGTTGTTGCAAGATTAAATATTTAAGCTTGTATTATGGTGCCATAAAATTGAATATTTTTGTAGATCGGTTAATGAACTTGAAAGATTGTCTAAAGATTTGAAAGCTAAAATTCGCGAAATAGAGTTGCGGTTTGGAACTATAGATAAATTACGCAAAGAATTGAAGGATAAAGAAGCAAAGATGGGTAAAAATTTAGAATTGACTAATAAAATTGAGAAAAATTATAAGGTGAGTTATAAAATACAATGTTTCAGTCGTATGGTGTTTAATGTATACAATGCACAAATTATTATTATAATGTTGTCATTAAAATAATTATCACATGTATATATTGAACTATAGTTACATCTTCAACGACTGCAAACACGGAAAGAATCATTTTCTAACTTAAAGCATATGCATGGAATAAACATTCAAAATTCATTTTCAAATGTACTCGCTTTACGAAATAAGAAGGTACAAAGATAAATTCTTTATTTAAGAACTAAAAAAGAGTTTTCTACTTCATATATTAAGGTTTATGTTGTTTTCGTACATTAAATACTTTGTTCAGGGTACTATAAACATTGATCATGGCCGAAAAATACTTGAACTTGTAGTGAACTCCCAAAATGATAATAAAAAATCAATAAATGATGCAAGATCATTGTCGGGTGGTGAAAGGTCGTATTCGACTGTTGCTTTCATTTTAGCACTTTGGGACTGTACTAATTTACCATTTTACTTTCTTGATGAATTCGATGTTTTCATGGTAAATATATTTTGTGAATATGATGCTTTTTTAACGTTTGTATAATGTCCTTTGCGAAATCTTTACGGGCAATTTTTTTAAACTAGGATAAAGTAAATCGACGAGTCGTAATGGACATCCTTTTGGATCATGCGAAAACGCATCCACAAAGTCAATTCATATTTTTAACTCCGTTAGACACGTCTAATGTGTTAGCTGAGGATTACATAACAATCCATCAGTAAGTGTAATTTAAATCAAATTCAAACTGTAATTGCAAATGTACACCATATTTACATATACGAATTTTTAGGTTAGCAGAACCAGAAAGAACAGGGTAAAATTTATATCAATATTTCATAAGAGAAATGTTACTTCTACAATAATAGATACATAATAATGCATAGAACTACGTAAAATGTTGTAATGATTGATACTGTTACAAAAGTTTATAACTAGAAAAGTAAAAATAAGTAAAAAAAATATATTTTTGTAACTTTACGATTAACGTTAAGAAACAGTAATTTAACAGGTTTAAATTGGTTTTTGTCATAATTGTTAAGTTCAGGAAAATTCAGGAAAATAATTTATTTAAAATACATGTAGTTTTATTTATCAAGTTATATGGTACTTTATTCTGTAGAAAAAGATGTACAGATAAGTAGTTTATAAATAGTGATTTTATACGAAATGTTACTTCAGTATTTTTAGAATTCTTTTATTACAATATAATAATTATAGTATAAAACTACATACAAAATTTATGCAAAATAAAAAACAGATTATAAATACAAATGTTTTATTTGCTTTATTCGCATCTTATTTATAACGTCTCAAATAATTTTATTTGGTTGTTATATATCCAACTATGAATGTAATGTATAAGAAAATAAAAAAGTGCCAAAAAAGTCAGGTATACGAGACTATAAGTAGATCAAGGTTTGCACCTTCGAACAAATCTGGTTTGTCCCGATTAACGCAACGACTCATATTACATGCATTACACATAAACAGTCCAATAGGTACGAGGCGTGGTTACGTTGTGTAACCGGCAACATTGGCACTGGCAGAGAAAGTGTTCGAACCATGAAGTCTGTCCGTGAATTGTAAATGAAATTCAGCCTTCTTGACAAGCAATAGGAGCAGTTGAAAGTGTGGACATAAAAACTTTGTCATTACTTACATGTTTTTTCTCATGCACCATGCATTTGTAATGTTTCTCTCCGTATATGTACTTGATCAATACTTAAATGCTCCGTAATTTAAATAGGAATTCATTGTTTAAGCTACTTTATCAGTTTATGAAAATTAAGCATAAACTAGTTTATGGTAAAGGTAAAAATATTTTTTGCACTATTTACTTAATTCTTGCGGTATTGTATATCCATACATGAGTTTAAAGATAAATAACCACGAATATTGTTTTTTTTTTTTAATAACCGGAAAGATTATCAGTGTAAGTCTTGCCGTGTTAAGAGATAGAAACATGGAAGGTAACAGAGTTCAAATGAATTGAGAAAACAGTAACATAACTATTTTGTGCAGTTGCTAAAAAACCGTAATTTATTTGAGAAACATTATTCCTAAAGACAACAGATCGATTCAGTGGATGTAGGCCGTGGCTGGGGCAGCATAAGCAACAGGAGCGGCGGCATATTTAGCGATGGGGGCAGCGTACGTTACAGCTGGAGCAGCGGCAATTTTAGCTACTGGAGCAGCGTAAGCAACTGGGGCAGTGGCGATCTTGGCAACGGGGGCAGCATAGGCAACTGGAGCAGCGGCGATTTTGGCTACTGGTGCAGCGGCGACTAGGGGAGCAGCAGCAGCTTCTTTGCGAACGACGGCATTGAATCCATTAACGGGGTCAGCAGTGTAGTCGACGATGCGTTTGGTTCCGTCAGCCTCGAGAAGAGAATAGCTGCCTTGAACTACGTCTCCGTCACGGGTTTCTTGCTGGCTCTTAGCATCACCGGTCAGACTGTCGTGTACGTCATAGGCATAGCTGTATTGGGGATGGGGGTCGTAGTCAGCATCTACTGCTTTAGCCACGGGAGCCGCCACTACCGCCTTAGCTACGGGAGCCGCTGCTACTGCGACTGGCGCGGAGTAAGCCAATGGAGCGGCGTGCGCATAAGTTAAGGGAGCAGCGGGAGCATAAGATAACGGAGCAGCTTCCCGTAAAATTCCGGCGTTGGCGGCTGCTACCAACACGGTGAATGCGATAAACTGTAAAGAAACACATATAATATAATTAATTGAATACCTATAATTGTTAAATATACGCATTCCAGGCGAAAAGCATTGTAAATCAAGTGTTTTTTACTAAAATTTTTAAGTAGATGATGAAAGTTTCACGAAAATTTTTGAGTTAGGTCACGTGCTCTACTTTCAAATCAAAAATCATATAACGAGAAGAAACACTACTTTAAGAACTATTACATTATAAATTAGTGCGTATATCAACAATACAATATATTACTATTGGTGAAATATGTTTCAATAATTAAGGGAGCAAAGTTGAAGGTACCACTGAAATGAACTACGAGTTATTGTTCGTTATACCTTGAAGGCCATTACTGCTTGCTTGATTGGAAGATCTCTCGATCTGTACGTCTGTAATGCGAATGATACTACAGACGGGTTGTTTTCGGCTTTTATACTGTTGTGAGCAGGACCTACGGGTACGCTGACGTAACTGGGTGACGGTACCTTCGATGGTCACCCGACTTGTGGCTGCAAAGTGGCACAAAATTGAGCAAGAAATCGGACCACACCCAATACGAACAATTCGATCAGTGACGATAGTCGTTGGACCATCATGAACACCATCGCCATGTACTAGGCCACGTCCTTGTTGTACGTTACTTAATCTGATCTGTTTTTGATTAAGGAAAATATGCCAACTTCCTTTTTGCATATATTTTACGAATGAGATCTGTGAGTTTCTTTATTTACAACAACAAAAATATAATGCATAAATATTATAATATATTACTATTAGCGACATATACATAAACATTATGTTCTGTATCATGTATAGTTAGACTATCAAGTCAAAAGCTTAAGTTCTTTTGTTCCTATATATTTACGAAATTTACAACTATTAAATATGTAATGCACTTACGTGTTTATAGTCGCATGTACTTTTTATCATTTTTTCTTATACTTACATTATTTAAAATTAACACAATTAATTATTCTAATGAAATGTATAACAATATTAATAATGTCATTACTTCAAACTCGAAGTTAAATAAGTATTCAACAAGTATATTATATACATTTTTCAAAGCATATATTTATGAAGTATATAAAATAATAGATATTAAATATACTGTATCTAAACGTAACAATTACTTATTGATAGTTGGGAGATGTAAACTTCTTTTTTGGTTAATTGATATGCTCTTATAAGGAAATAAAAGTGTCTTATAAGGAAACAAAGGTGAAGACCTGTACATAACTTTAATTGTCATTAATTTAATGTTGCCTTTTAAACGTTATAAATTAATTTATAACAAGTAAAATATAGTTCAAATACTGAAACTACGATCGAAACTTTCATAAATTTTTGATATACATATAAATGTTATAAATAACATTATCAAATATCAATTTCAGGTAGTAATTCACAGTTTGATTTTTTATTAAAAATTGTATCATATTGAGATCGTAGCGAATAATTTACAAATTATCTTCTTCTTACAGTGAAATAATTGTAAGGTGTAAAAGCTGCACTTTGATAAACTTTGTGTTAAATAAAATTAAATTGCAAATTTTTGAAAATTAAAGATTGATAAGGAATAATTTTTAACCGATGTTTATGTGTAATTTTTCATAATAGTTAGAAATAAAAGTTTTAATTAAAATTTGTAACATCAATATTTTATGGAAAATTAATTTTAATTATTAACTATTCGTTTTTAATAAAATATAGAAAAATGGCAGGTGTTAAAGACCTTTACATTTGTTAGTGTTCATTTAATTTTATTGAATATTTCAGTTCAAATCTGGAAATAATTAGAAGAACAATTTTTCACATACTTAAAATGAAATCTAACAATAATTTTCTAAAAACTAGTATTTTGTGTACATTACATATAAATCGGTATAAATAATTTGTATATACTGATTTAAAAAATGGTACGAATGATCACTTATTAATATCGAAAAAGTCTTGCGTTAAAATTGACAAATTTCAGTTTTAGCTTATCTACAAATTTCAAGCATCCGTGTCTCATTATTCCCAGAAATCTAAGAAAAAGGATCGGAAATGTTAATCGCAGTTATCAATGTTATTTGTCACATGATGGCCTATAGGTTAGTAGTGCAAAAAATTTTGTTCAACAACCTTGAGTTCTTCCATAATTGGCGGAATCAACTGGTTTTTTTCGCGGTATAAAAAAATAAGAAAAGAACGAGGTTAAGCGTCGATGATGTAAGAAGTTAATGACGTAAGAGTGATCAGATTTTTGTACGATTAATGTGATGTAGCGAAATTTTCATTGGAGTTCAAATATTTCTCTATCCTTAATTCTATAGCAAGCATAAAGAAATTAACCGCGGAAGATTCTATTCCTATGTCTTAAAACACTTATTTGGAATTTTACACAGCAGTTGGAAGTTTTTACGATTTCACTGTTATTAAAAAAAATTATAATTTTATGTAAATATATGTATATGTATACTAATTATAACGTATATCAAATTTACAGAGAACAGTTGTAATGTAATTATAACCGTGTAAAAAGATGTTGGAAAAAATTAAAGATATATTAGAGAAAGAAATATATTGTTGCCGTCCAAAAGTACAATTGGTCATGTCCAAAGTCTCTTTGGTATGTACAAAATTTTCAAATAATTCAATGGTTTCTTGTTTGATCTATAAGTAATGAAGATAGGAAATATTGCGATATTATATCAATATTTTGTGTAAAAAATTTGTAATAACTTTACTTCGGTTATGTAGAATATTCTAAAAAGATGGAATTTGAGATAACAGATAAGAAGAAACTATATTAAAGATAACAATGACTTAAGTTTTACTTAACGAATGTTAAATGTTATTGAGATGTAAGACAAATCTTCTGTACCAACCTAATAGTAATTAATTTCAATATTTATTATACTATAAGGACGGACGACATGAATTCAAATTGACATTGATTTCACTTGAACCTTTCTGTCGATTACTGTGCGAGATACTTATTCGAAGTGAGTGACAGACATCATGCAAGGTATAAGTCTTGATTTTGGATCTGGATCAGTATATTTCTCCAATGGCCTGCGGCTATCAATCGATCGAGACGGACCTCGCGATTCGGCTGGCCCACCTATTTTTTTGTTTCATTATGAAAGTGCTCCACTTCAGTTTGCCAGTAACGTTAGATGTGACGCAACGATCGACGTAGATCAGGATACACGGACTCGAAAGTTTCACAACGTACCTGTACTGACAAATTCTTTTTATCATACAGTGTTTCACACAGAATTTGGAGAAATTTAGAAAATCGATTTGTAACTGGTACAATTAAATTTCAATCAACGTCGTACAATGATACGAAATGTCGGTGTGTCCAATGTAGTAGAAAAAATTCATGAATTAAAATGTAAGACAAATTTGTATGCATGTGATGATCAGAGTGTAGACAGAAAAAGGAATTTAATTTCTATTGGCCGATTAACTATTTACACATCTAGACCTCAGAATCAGAATTTACGTTTTATACAAAAATTCATTAACTTAAACCTTTTATAAAAAAATTACATATTACGTATTCTTTATCTCAAAATTTTTGCTCTTTCTGATGAAAAAATTGAATTCATCAGTTTTCTGATAAAAATAATATTAAACCTATATTGTTTTGCACATTTTCTGTACTATTCATTTATCTACTGTTTTTTTCATGTTTGCAAAGTATAATACGCTTTAGTGATAGAGACAATGTGTACATAATTTGATTTTTGATGATGTTGGAATTATTATTTTTATTATACATCTGATTCCTGTATCATTTTTTTGAAGATTTGTGAATATCTTGTATTAAAAATATTTATTATAAAAAAAAAAATGGAAAAAATATTGTAAATTTATATTTTGGAAACGAATAATAAAGAAACTGCAAACATGAAAAATAAAAAGTGTTGTCAGTAATTTCGATAATTATAAAATTTACTACTCATTTACGTTTGACAAAATACGAGGTTTTTATAGCATATTATTTTATGTATTTGAATAATATATTATGCATTTAAATAATTTACACTTGTGGAATGTTCGGTAAGAAATCGTCGAAATCATCAAGATTGCATAAAAGTAAAACTTTACATGGCGAACAAAATAATTTAGGAAAAAGAGTTGATTAACATTGTAAACATGATATAGAAATAACGTGTGTCAGTGAATGTTAGAAAATTAGAAACGCATTTAAGCGTTTTTATTTACGTGAAACGCTATCAATTTGAATTCGTTTAATACTTTTTTTAAAAAGTTTTGTTTAATTGTATTTTTTAAATACAAAAATTAATCGGAAATTTCTATTAAGCTTCATATTTGTCAGTATATAATCTGTAAACCATTTCAACATTTCTAATAAAACATTTTTATTGTCTATAAAAATTACTTTATGGACAAAATAAAGTGTTTGTCATAATTTTTGTACTGTTGGTATGTAAGTTGTATTTAAGTATGGAAACAAAGAAGTATAAGTCGTAAAGTGAGTGCGTTTTATGCGCTAATAAAATAATTTAAAAAATGTTATTTTAATTATTCACAATTTCTATTTAACAAGGAAGTTAGTAGTAACTGTTAATTTTGTAAAGAAAATTGAGATAAAAAATAAATACTGTTAAAAGCTAGTAACATGAGTGCCTACTATTGAACAAGTTACTTTGATAATCAGTATGCAATATTGTTCATACTATCTGTTAGTCTATGTAACTTTATACTAGAAATTTTGAATGAGGATGTGAACGTATATGTATTTGCAAGAGCCAAGTTCAAGTACGATAACATTCAATACGATCTGTTACCGAACTTTGAAAGCTTGGCAAAACCCGACCAATTTGGTGGGGGAGATCGGTGGTAAGAGCTCGATCACCGGTATATAAAGCAGTCCGAATAAACGTTGGACATCATCAGTCGCTCAGTCGATTCAAATCAACCTAATCTTTTCAACAATGGTGTTCAAGGTGGGTGATGTATTTTGACTTTCGGTTTATACAAAATCGCTAAGCCAATACGAATGACTAAGAATTCGTTTTTACTAAGTATCACTTAATAGAGTTTATAAGAATTTTTAATGATTACTTTCGTTATTACAGTTCATTGCCTTCATCGCCTTCGTGGCCGCCGCCAATGCCGGAATTTTGCGTCAGGGTACACTAACCTATGCCCCCGCAGCTCCATTAGCGTACACTCATGCCGCACCGTTGGCGTACTCTGCACCAGTGGCAGTCGCAGCTCCCGTAGCTAAGACGGTGGTAGCTAAAACAGTGGATGCCGACTACGACCCTCATCCCCAATACAGCTACGCTTACGATGTACACGATAGCTTAACTGGTGATGCTAAGAGCCAGCAAGAGTCCCGTGATGGAGATGTAGTGCAGGGTAGCTATTCTCTCATCGAGGCTGATGGAACCAGACGAACAGTTGACTACACCGCTGATCCAGTCAATGGATTCAATGCAGTGGTCCGCAAGGAACCAGCCACTGTCGCCGTGAAAGCTGTTGCCCCTGCTGCACCCCTGACCTACGCTGCTTCTGCGCCAGTTCTTGCTGCTCCAGTTGCGAAGTACGCCGCCCCCATAGCACATGCTCCAGTATACACCACGAAAGTTGCTGCCCCAGTTGCCGTTGCCCATGCTGCCCCAGTCGCTGTTGCCCATGCTGCTCCAGTCGCTGTTGCCCATGCTGCACCTATCGCTTACTCTGCTCACCCTCCTACTTTTGCCAAGTACGCTGCTGCACCAGCCCTGACCTACGCTGCCCCAACGCACTATTTGTAAATGTACTTCCTTCGTAAAATCGATGTTCCGGACTCAGGCTGAATCTTTTATTTATTTTTTTAGCAGACTTGTTTGTGATCGATTAAAGTCGTTACAAATGTATATGAATTTTCTTCTTTCCTGTCTTCTTTTATCCATTTGTACGTTTTTCCTTTGCACTCTACCTACGTATATATATATATATAAGGATATAAGGATATATATATAAGGATATATATATATATATATATATATACGTATATATATATATGTTAATGAACCTTGTTCATTAACGAGTTATAAAATATTTATGCTTCAATGTCATCAGAGCGAAAATTATACATTACTTAAATATATAGTAATTATTGATCTTACACAGATCGTTTATCAAATTGTTCTTAAGTATCACCAAAACAGATACGATTTCTTTGGTTTCTGAGTCATTTTTGTAATCTCATCAAGGTCGTCAAATTTCCTCTTTGTTGTCTACGGATATGTATTCGTTTTATGTGAACTTAGCAATAGTAATGTAAGCTATGTTTAATTTAACGTTAGTGACCAGGTATTTAAGACTAATCGATAGCCATCATTATACTAAATGCATTACTATGATATGATACTTATTGGCAAATATGTATTGTTACAATCATTCTTAATAGTAGATTTACACCATTTAATAAATTCATAATATTTTCTAGAAGTTATAAATTATTCCTTAAAAAACAAAACAATATTACGACAGGTTCAAAATTTTACTATTTCGCAATAACACGATTCAAAAGAATTGTAGGAGAAGTAAGCGTTTAGTATTGTAGGAGGAAAGCGTTTAAATTCCAAAATTCAATTTAAATTATTGCATAATTAAGGAAAATTAGAATAATACAGTCTTCCGAAATTGAATACATGATTAGTAATTTATCAAACAGCAGTTTGAAGTCTTTTAAAATGTGCATTTATGATAAATGAATAACAATAGTTATTTAAACAATGGACTATATTTGACGTGTTGCTTTATGTTACATGTTACTTGAATTGCGCTACTATTTCTTATATCACTGTAGAAAGCTTGATAATGTCCTTTGTGTAATACTGTTTAACTGTCTACAAATAAATTGCGAGAGAATTTTAGGATGTATTAGTTTCCATTGTTATGCGCATAGAAACGCCTGGTAACCTTTTAATCCATAAAAGAAAGACTCACTCCAATCACGACATCATATGCAGTTGTTTCTACTGTTTACGTGACTTGATTATCAAGCACCGATTGATTGCTCACAATGAGGTATTGAGACCGTCTGCTTTCACATTTATTTTACAATACCAAACTATTGACGATTGTGTCTGTTGAAATTTTTATCAAAATAATCGTACATGTTGCATAACATTACTGCTCGTAAATAATTTTTATAAAAATAAGTATTTAATATGTTTCTACGTTATGTCCAGCTTTGATTCAATAGGCGAACAAAATTATTTCTTCCAGAAATAGCGACCTATAAAGAATAAGTAACGAAGAATAGAATTTTTACTAGTTTGTATATTTAAATATGCAATAAGATAAGAAATTTTATATCTTTATTGGACAGTTTCGCAAAGTAGAAAGAACAAACTGTGATGCTAGAATAATTCATTCGATAATCAATTAATACAAAAACATTTTTTTAACGGTTTTACTATTAGCATCATTGTTTTATACTAGACACGATAATTTGAAGATAAAAAAATGTAGAAATTTGTGAATTTGGCGATTTGGCAATGGAAATTTAGAAATTTGTGTAATTAACAAATTTCAAATTAGGAAACTTGTTCTATTATACATTTTTTGTATATGATATCTTACGTCCTACTTATTTTATCTTGCGAAAGAAAGCTCACTCCATAAGGTACTAATTCCATTCTAATTCCAATCTAGTTACGCTAATGCATTTATCTTTTATATAAGTTTACACTTTAAAATTTACATTCTGAAATATTTAAAAAATGTTCAATTATTATTATTTACGGCATTATTGACACCATAACCGTTGTACTAAAAGTAATGATTCTAAGCATGACACCGAATAATAAAATTAACGCATAAAGTCTCTTGCCGCATTTTAAATTAATACGACGCAAAATAAAATAAAAGTATGATAAATGTACAATATTTTCTGCAGTGAAGCACTAGAATTTAATTTTTTTGTCGGATTTTAATGTTTTATATTTATTTAATAGCTTAATTTTGATAATAATTATAATTTTCTTCATTTCTGTCAATATTTTTCGTTACTAATTATTTGATATAATTTAATTTATGATGTCAGTCGTATATTACCTTCATGGCAGTAATGGGACAAATCGTTAAATTGTTAATGAAAAGATGAAAAACATAAGGATGAAACTGTTTTATGCTCGTTTCTTAATTAAAATTGACAAAAAAGAGATCGACGTTTTCGCTCAAGGCGATCCATTGTCCATTTGGTCGAATTCTTTCCGCGTAACCGGTTTGCCAAAAGTGAACCGGTTTCTTGTGTAGCCAACTACGTAATACAGGGCTCGATTACGAGAGGCCACATCGTGACATTGGGCGCGGTATTTTGATGGCCGCGAATTCAGCCCTGGTTTATTCGGTGAAAGTTGAAACTATACGAACAGATATGTAGTCGAATCAACAAGATCAAGACTTTGTAGACTCTTTTACCCTTCAACAATTAACACTAGGATACACGAAACGTTTATTCACGGCATGGCAGAATTTGTAATATAAGTGAAACAACAATAGTCTCTCGTTCAAGAATAAGTCAAAATTACAAAAGAAATTTATTTATACATTAAAATTATATATTTTTATCTGTATTTATTATCTTGTTATTTGGACATTATAATTTGTTTGAAATAATTAAGTTGTCAACGTTCTTATTTTAACATCGTACTGACATTATCTGTAATCCTTTCTGAGAAAAAAATTTTTATGATAATACATAATTATTATAAAATTATGTTGCATTAATACAGTATTCGCATTATAGTAATATAAATTATTATATATTACATTATAGTACTACTATTATACATTTGTGTAGCAATCCAGTGATTAGTGTCTGCATGTTTTGCTTGCTAATGATAGGTTGTTACTAGTTCAGTATGTAGCTGTTCTCGTAGCTATTAAATTTGATATTTTTTCTTGTTATATCCATTTTTTATGCAGAACATTTCTAACATTGTGAGTTTATATTGTCCAAATAAAACTATCCGCATGTATTATTTTCTCGAAGTTCTTTCCTTTGAAGATCCCTTTTTCGAGAATGTGTGTACCTGTTGTCATTATTAATAAACATCTTGATATATATTCGCATTTTCAATCGCGGTATAGGTATCAATATGCCTTTTAAAATTTTTACAATTTCAAACAAATTTGCTGTAGTGAGTGCGGTAAGCTGCTAGGTGCCAAAAGTGCTTTGGAAGCCAAATTTTTACATTGTGTGTGCAAAGTATTTCGGAAACGGTTGAACCTATTCACTTAAAAATAAGCACGTTTATTGTAAACGGTAAAAAGTTAATCGTTCCTGTCAGTGTTTTCTTTCAATACAATAATTCTTTTTTTGATATACCACAAAACGAGTTTTTGTAATTACTTGGTACTTCAAAGGATTGGACTTCTGCAATCACTTTAAAAAATAACAAATTTTTGCGAATTTATTTGTAGGTAATATCAATATTTTTTGTATCACCTTATTTAGTAAAAGTACAGACATGTATAAATAGTTAACACCACAATTATCGGTATTCAAGATAGTTTGAAAATATTATCCTAACTAGTTTTGTAATTTAAAATAAGAAAACTGCAGACTCGCCATTTTATCGTTTTGCTAGCTCTTTTATTAATTATTAAAAATGATTTTCTCTCTTGGTCATATCAGCCTTTCTAGAATGTAAGTGTAATCTAACAAAGCGTAAAAACTGAACCGTTCTTATTTTGAGTAGACATTGATTCTTTTAGAATTTATTTTATTTAAACACGGTATTAGGTAATTTCAAATCTTTTATGACTAGTGCGCGACTTAAAATGGAAGAAACAAATTTTTTTGAAATAATAATAAAGTATGCGATGCGAGTAAAAAGGTTTCCTGCGTAATATAAACGTTCTTTCTTTCTTGTATCTGGAACGTTCTCGTTTACCTTTCTTTTCGTTGCACGACAAGGTACTATATTGTTATTAAGAACGAGTCAAGCAGTAGTACATATTTCCATTTTATCCGTAACAGCAGTTGTGACTTATTCGAGCAAGGCGATACAGTTTCAAAGTGAAAACGTATGATACATGTAAATGGATATTGCAAAATATTGTGTAAGAATTCGAATACCATCTGACACATGTAAACATGCGAGAGACATATACGTATATATATATACGTTACCATAATTGTGAACGTAACATTGATGTACTCCCAAGAAGATAGTAAAATAAAATAACAGTTTAGATTTAAATAACAATCATAATTTTGTTCTTAAATTATATACCTAAAATATATTGTAACAGTATAGTTACTACTAATATTTATTTAAAGCATCGTTGTTTAGTAAGAAGAATTTGTAATTAAAAAAGTACGTCCGAGTTTAACAAAACTATTATATTAAACGTCAGTAGTTTAATCTGCTTAGAAACAGTCACAGTGATAGTAACCAGTAATATGTCAGGCCATCATAAATTCTCTTTTTTTGTTTTACGATTATTGCATATTAAATAACAAATTCTAAAGTATGAAAAATTGACATGATTTTATAACATAAAAGTAGCATAACTTACCATTTTTTCTATGTTTCCATGTTTTTACGTTTCTATGTTTCTATGTTTCTAGTGCAACGTACCACGTCTTCTTATAATTTATATAATTCTATATAAATTATTCAAGAAAAGTGCGGTTAATAATTATTTTAATATGGAAGAAATGTATCTCGAAAGTAAGTCATATGTTTGGCTCAAATTAACAATTACAATCAAATGAAATATAACACTTTAACACAAATTTGCAAGTAACAAAATCCGACAATTTTGTAACTTGAACAGTTTAGAACTTATAGATGGTTTGTAAATACTGATAAATGGTCTGCAGTAGCTTGTTCGGTGTTTTGCCATGGTGATT